GAGTACCCGGGTCTGTAAGCAGTGACGTCTTTGGCCTGATCCGAAGCGTACGCCCAACGTACTTGTATTTACACCCATCGTAAATCGAAGTTTCATCCCCCTATAAATAGAAGTCGAGGGCAGCCGGGTTTTGATGCTCATTTCTTCCTTTCTCTCTCATTTTTGCATCATTTTACGTGTAAGTTATACCTCGAAGCCCCGATATCATTCCCGAGACCCGAAGCAAGTCCCATGGCCCGAAGATCCCGAGAAGTGAAATTCCCGAGCCGAAGCTCTGCTCGCGAGAAGCCCGGTTTTTGTGAAGATCTCCCGGTTTCACCGAAGAATACTACTTTTAAAGTCGTAGTGCTGTCCAATCATCTTCTGGTCAAGTGAGTGCATAGTCCCTTTCATATACCCGATTAAAATACAAGTATTGAATGTATTAGATATACGATATTAGTTAGTATGTAACTGCTTTCTGCTAACACACGTATATGAAATATTCTCTATGAAATATGTGCTATGTGATTATATGTTATCTGTTTACTTGGAATGAATATCGAATGAATATCTTATCAGTTTTAAGTGGCATATGAATGCATATGTATATTGTTATCTACAAAATATTGGGTAGAACTTGGGTAGATAGTTTATGTGTGATAAACTGATGAGAGGCCTCGATGTGATAGTGATCTAGTCATTCAGCAGAATATGGATGACGACCACAGACTTTTCTAGACAGTTCAGTGGAATGATGGCAGGCTCATAACCTGTAGGTGTAATGAACTTGGGTGTTCATTTGCTGTATTCTATCTCCCTCATGGTTGCCTTTAGGATATCTATTGTTGATGAAACCCCTTTGCAGTAATGTCCGTCCCGATGAAAATCCTAGATTAGGTCCTTGGTAATAGTGGTTGTCATAGGGACGTAAAGTGAGGATAACGGGAATGGGTAATCGGGTTATTGTTGGTTGGTGAATTAAAATATAATTATTTAATTGTGGGGTGAAAACCCTATATGCTCACCAGGCTCCCAAGCCTGACCCACTTAGTTTCTTTGTATTACAGGTAGTGGAGCGAGAGCATAAGTTGGGGAACTTGTGAAGATATTTTTTTTATAGACCTGTTGTTGTAAATAACTGTGTATGGTCTATATTTTACTGTTTACGCTTTTGTGTCTGTATCGGAACATGACATCCCGAGTTTTGATATATAATGAAAATACATTTCTTTAAGAAATGCTTTGATAAACCTTATTTTATCATATAATGTTTTTAGGACAAATTCCGCAACTCTTTTAAATCAATGGATTTACTCTGAAATTATTTTAAAAGAATAAATGAAACCGGTCTTTTCTGGCCGTGATTTTGGGGATGTCACACAATTTCACGGCCAGAAAGGACCGATTTGTTTATGCTTTGTTTTATAAAATCAGAGTAATCCTTTGATTAAAAGAGTTGCAGAATTCGTTCCCAAAACAAAATATGATAAAAATTTATCAAAACATTTCTAAAAGAGAATGTATTTTCATTAAATAATAAAACCTCGGGATGTCATTATTCGATACAGACCAAAAGTATAAACAGTACAATACAAACCTTACAACAGTTATTTACAACTACTGGTCTATAATCAAATTATCTTGATAAGTCATCCAACTTATGCTTTCGCGTCACTACCTGTAATACAAATAACACTGAGCGGGTCAGGCTTGGGGTCCTGGTGAGCATATAGGGTTTTCAACCCACAATAATATAATGATTATTTTTAATCGTCAAACAATCAACCCAATTACCCATCCCATTATCTCCTTTATTTCTTAAGGATTTACCCTAAGAATGAAATAACCTTCATTCATTCAATCCTAAGATTGACCTAAGGAATTGGCACAAAGTCCATTGCTACCAAGGTTTATACAACATGCACTACGTCTCATAGTCACCGAGGTTTATACAATAGGCACTACGTCTCTTAGTCACCAAGGTTTATACAATAGACACTATGTCTCATAGTCACCAAGGTTTATACAGTAAGCACTATGTCTCATAGTTACCAAGGTTTATACAACAGGCACTACGTCTCATAGTTACGAAGATTTAAACAATAGGCACTACATCTCATAGTCACCAAGGTTTATTTATAAGGCACTAAGTCGCATAGTCGCCAGGGTTTACTCGTACCATCTTTCATCACATACCAACTATTTCATCTACCCAACATATTTGTAGATATAAAATACATATACAATTTAAATCATTTAAAACCTATATAAAACATCCATTCCACACTCATCTCAAATAAACAAACAATATATAACACATAACATGTATTTCATAGCAAATACTTAATATTTATGTGTTAGAAGAAAGTAACTACACACTTGCTTGATTAGACGATGCTCGGACAGTACACCGACTTTAAAAATAGTATCCTTCGGTGAAACTGGGAGATCTTCACAAAAAAACCGGGCTTCTTGCAGGCAGAGTTTCGGCTCGACAACTCTGTTTCTCGGGATCTTCGGGGCTTCGGGACTAGCTTCGGGTCTCGGGATGATTCCGGGGCTTCAGGGGTATAGCTTGCACATAAAACGAGGTAATAAGGAGTGAGAGGAAAGAAACGAGCAACAAATCCCGAAGGTATTGCATTCTATTTATAGGGCTGAAGTCGGCCTCGAACGCAGCGCGTTCTCTCTGGGAACGATGCGCTAATAGTGAATTTACGATAGAGTGATAATATATGTCTATCGTAAATTCACTATTTACGTCACGCAATGTCATGCCGATTCTCTTGTACTTCGGCATGCCATAACTTCTTCGTTATAACTCAGATTTCGTCGTTCTTTATATGTACAGAACCCTAGTAACATATATACTACAAAAAGTCATTTTTGATGCTTATTGTCTCTAAATTGACTAGCTCTGTAACATCCCGAAATATCAATAGTAGAGCTGAAGGGCTAAAAGAGTAATTTGGGAAAGAGCGACTCGGCAAGTCCATGTGTGGACTCGGCGAGTAGAGTCGCGACTTGGTCGCGTGTTAAGTGGCCGACTCGGCGAGTCAGTGTATTGGACTCGGCGAGTAGGCGCTGAGTGGAGAAAACCCTAATTCCCGGGGTTGAGCCTTATATAATGATCATTATGTCTTCCTCCCAGCCTCTTTATCACCCCTTGAGCCCCAGAAAAACCCTAAATCATGAAGAAGCTCCATTGTTGAATGGATTGGAGCTTGGAGGAGTAATTGTGAAGGAATTTTGGGAGATTGAAGGCTTAGAGCAAGGAGCTTTGTTTGGATTCGAGTCTCATTTCAGTTGGGGCATTCCTTTGAGGTAATATCTCGTTTTTTTGAGTTGCTATTTCTTAGATGCATCATTTTGGGGGTGTTGGAGATCATATCCTTGGATGTATTGGAGTTTAGAGGCTAGATCTGAGGTTGCTACCTCAGATCTGGAAGGGAGAAGGTCTAGAGTGCATGAAAGTCCCTGTTTGTGAGTGGTTGATGGAGCCATCTTGTCCCAAATCCGAGCCCAATGTGCAAATGGCTTAGATCTCTTTGGATTCACGTAAAGTTTGACACTTTACGTGATGGATGAGTGGTAGGAGACTAGATCTAGGTTTTGGAGCAGTTGCATGGCCTGGAATGCTTCGGAATGGATTCAGAACGGTGGTACTCGGTGAGTCACATGGGTGTACTCGACGAGTTGGATGAAGATGGCCTGGAACTCGGCGAGTTGCATGAACAACTCGGCGAGTAGGTTGAAGATAGCCGTAAACTCGGCGAGTCTGTTCTTGGACTCGACGAGTCTTGTCGAAGAGTCCCAAATATTTCCTGGTTGAGTCGAGAGTCGGTGAGTCAAGGGATGACTCGGTGAGTTGGGTGTGGGTGGACTCAGAGTGGTGGGACTCGGCGAGTCTCGGGGTGACTCGGCGAGTTGAGTCGCGGATTGAGGAAGTTCTGATTATAGGAACTCGACGAGTCACAAGGTTGACTCGGCGAGTAGAGTCAGTCGGGGGTTGACCTAGACTGAGGACTTCGATTTCGACCAAGGGTTGGCCGTTGACTTTTAGGGTTTGGACAGCGATGTGGCCTTGGGCCAAGAGAGAGATAAAATAGACTTTTACCCATAAGAGGGTGTTATGAGAGGATTTATTCTAGCCTCGAGAGTTATATTCATGAGAGTATTTGCCTTACGTGTTAGGCGGTGGCGAGTTCGAGATTCAAGTGTGGGGATATCTGCTTTCTGCTTGCCAGGTGAGTCTTCTCACTATACTTTACCTTGAGTAGGTAACCAGAGTTATGTGATCAGAGTACTTGTATGCTATTTGTATGTGATGTGTTGTACTGCATTATTTCTATGTGATTTATGCTGTGCATGTTTATAGAGTTGGAACCGGAAGGTTCCCAGAGTTAGAACCTGAGGGTTCACAGAGTTTGGGTGCACGGACCCATAGAGTTATAGCCTCGAGTGGCTAATATGTGTTATGTGTGGTATTTTGGGGAACTCACTAAGCTTCGTGCTTACAGTGTTTTGTGTAATGTTTTTCAGGTCTCTTTCAGTATCACGGGACGACACCGGCTTGATTGTACACACTAGAGAAAGAGTCATATTTTGGAGGATCCTGGTTTTCTATGCAAGTGAAAATGGAATCATGTTTTGTAAATCGACTATGAATGAGATTTTAAAAAAATGTTTCTAAGAATAAAATGATTATTTTAAATGAAAATTTTGTCTTGAAATTTACGGTGTTACAAGCTCTGATCTATGGGCGTTACATTAACCTTTTATCTATAAAAACCCAACAAACTAACATTTTATTTTCTTTAATTCTTATTAGAGGCAACCAGATCCATTATGTATACAGTTAGTTGGCAAATGACATGACATTATATTTAATGACATGGAATAAACAAATTAGAATTGCCCTTTATGTATTGATTTAGGGCTTGGAGAAGAGAAAAACGAACGACATCTGTGTTCGATCACTTGTAATGGCTACTTCTTCTTATTCCTCTTAGTCGTTGATGTCCTTCTCAATATCTATAAATAAGATATTTGATGATGCAAACCGTTGTGGATGTGGACGCCTTTATCGGATTTGGACGTCTAGAACGGAGGATTGTTCAGTGAAAAAAGTGAAAAAAATTCAAGGCTTGTTCGAAGAGATGGGTAAGTGTAACTGAAAGCCTGTCCATCTTCTATTTATTTGAACTACACTTACCCATCTGTTCGAACAAGCCCTGAACTATGTGAAGATTTATCATGTCCATCTTCTATCTATTTGGTTGATTATGTCAATTTTATGAGTTGATTTCTATGATTTGGATATAAATAGTTGTTTAATTTATCATGCTTTTTTTGTTTTTTTTTTAAATCAAAGATCCTTATGTGCTAGATTTTTTTTTTTTTTTTATCTTTATTGTTGAGTTTGCATACTTTAGATGACCATTACGATTGTGTTTGCTTGATTCATAATTGTTTAGATAACCATTATCTTAATAAGTTCTTGTTTTTGAAGGAACCAAACAAATATATATAGAAAATAAACATGACCTATTTGTTGGAACAAGCCTTGGACTTTTTCTCCGGATGATCCTGTGTTCTAGAAGTCCAACTCTCAAAGAGTGTCCACATCCACAGGGGTTTGCATTTTTCCTCTCCAAGATTTAAATTGATATAAAGGACGATTCTAATCTGTTTATTCAATGTCATTAAATATAATTCCATGTCATTTGCCAACTAATTGCATACCTAATGAATCTGGTTGCCTCTAATGAGAACTGAACAAAAGCGTAAGTTTGTTGGGTTTTTAGACAAAATGTTAAGTTCGTTAGGTTTTTTTCGAACAGACAAAACATGATTGAGTTTTTTCGAACGATTTCGAAACTTTGATGGTCTTACAAGTAATTTTCTCGATATTTAATCCCACGTAATAAGCCATGTCATTCGTTGACTTTTATTAGCTAGTTGACGGGACACCACTATATTAATATCCTCAAACCAGGCAATCAAATAGAAGGTTTTGATTATTAGGGTTATAGCTTATAGAGTTTTCAAGACAAAGCAAAAAATAAAACTTCTGTCCCTAATCCATACAAAGTAATAATGTACAAAGAAGAAAATTGTTAATTACTTCAATTATAAAGTTGTTTGTCTATGTGACAGAAAATATGGCATTTCATTGATTAGAAGTGTCACTACACAAGCTGACAAAAATGAAAAGTTTTGGTGTTTCATTGGCGTAAATGGTTTGTGGGGTATGATTTTGCATAATTAAAAATTTTCCATCGACTATAACCACACCCAATTGATTGTTTTTGGTATCATATACAGATACCAAGACCTCATATTCCATCCTCACACATTCAATTTCAATGGCTTCCAGTTCTTCCTCTAGTATTATGGCTTCTCCGGGTGCTAATGCTAGCAGCTATGATGTTTTTCTAAGCTTTAGAGGCGAAGATACTCGTCATAATTTTACAGATCATCTTTACGAAAGATTAAGGACAGCAGGAATCCTGACTTTTAGGGATGAAGAAGAAATTGAAAGAGGTGAAAAGGTGAAGCCGGAGATTGAGAACGCAATTAAAGGATCCAGGGCTTCAATAGTTGTACTGTCAGAGAACTATGCAACTTCCACTTGGTGCCTGGACGAGCTTTATTTGATTCTCCAACAAAGGAGGGAGGGCGATCATTTCGTTCTACCAGTCTTTTATAAGGTTGATCCTTCTGATGTCGGGAAACAACATAAAACTTTTGCAATCGAAGTCAAAGCCTCTTCAAGGTGGACAGATCAGAACGTGAACCTTTGGAAGGAAGCTCTTACGGAGGTTGCTGGTTTGGCCGGCGAGGTTTTGTCCAGGTATGCCTCTTTGTCCCTTAGCTTGTAATTTGTCATACTGCAATATGTTTTAATTGATGCTACTTTGATTCATAATTTGACGAGTATATGTGTTAACATCTAGCTAAGTATGTTCTCCACTTCAAAATCACGGCTCGGTGAATTTGTGTTGATATATGCATGTGAATTTGTGTTGATACATGCGTTAGTGAATTTATCCTATGAAATGCTAAAGAGATCTTTGTTTTAGAAGGAAGATTGGAAAAGTAGCTAAAAAAGTAATTGGATAAAAAAATGAATGAATTTGATGTGATACACGCTCCCCCAAACAGTGGAGACATGGCTGTCCATATCCAACTCGCCGCCTACCTCACGTCAATGGGATTATTGGGTTTGTTGTTATGTATATGTGATGGCTAACTTTTTTTTATTATTATAATAAATATCAAATAAGAAAAATAATTGAAAATATAGGTATTAGATATTATTGATATTTGTTTTATTTTTAATATTATCACAAAAAATTAAAATGTTTCCACTTATTTTTTAATACGAATTTATTTTCTAATTTGACAAAAAGTTTAGGGTTCCACAAATCTTGTCAAAACAGAGAAGAATACTTGTTCAAAATATATTTGCACTTGATTCAGGTGATTATTGATTCATTTTATTAATTTGTAATAGATTTTACTATTTAATTTTAAATACCTTCATTTTATGGGTGTTAATTTTGATTTTCTTTCCATAATTTTTTATATATATAAAAACCAAATGAATTAAATTTAAATATAGTTTGAATAAACCATTGAGTCAAGTAAAACCTATTTATAAATCTTTAAAAGGTTTAAAGTATTGGGTGTTGGCAATCGATTGTCACCTCCCATTTTAATATGTTATAATATGAAGTTGAGGAGTTCTTATAACATGATGTTAAGAGGAGAGAAAGAAAAAAAAAGAGAAATAAATGATTTGATTAAGTGTTGCCTCTCGTGCTCCTTACCACATTTCGTAACGTCACATCTCATAACTAGAGGATAGGGTCGTGTTTTAGCTGTTACTATAGCATCAAGGTGCCTCCACATAGGCAAAAACGTCCCTCCACGGGCTGGTACGGTATCGGGCCTCAAGGTTTTAAAATACGCTATCGGGCCTCAAGGTGTTTACCCCTAGCCTCACGAGGCGTAAGCCTTGAGGAGGAAGAAAATAATAATAATAATATATTATATTAATTATAAAAAAAAATACTAGAGTCCAATTTCAAACATAAAAGTCTTAATTAATGTCATCATGCCAAAAATAAAAAGACTAAAATTCATAATAGTCTTCAAATCATGCCAAATTAATAAAAATGAACGCATAGTAGTCTTCAAATCAATCCAAATCAACAAAAACGAAGGTCATCATCATCTTCCATGTGACCTTCGAGCTCATCATCTTCATCCACCAGGTTTAGTTCAACACCCTTCCTCCTTTTTGAACTAGAACTTGCATCTGTTCCAACTTCTGTTGCAACTTCTTCACTTGTTCCAACTTTTCCACCATTCTTATCATCTTCGTCACTTGGGTTGGCTAACCATTTATCATCAGAAGACACTTCCTCAACAAGTAAGGGGTCATCACCCTCTCCTAGCTTCTTCTTTAAGACAAACTTTCTCTTCAAGTTCTTGTTGTACATAATGCACACCAAGCTATTCATTTTACTCGTAGTCAACCGGTTCCTTCGCTTTATGTGTACTTGCTTAAATGTACGTCAATCCCTTTCGCAAGCTAAAGCAGAACAAGTTAGATCTAATATTTTTGTTGCAAAAATCATGAGTTCGGGCACATTTTCTCCAAATTTATCCCACCATTCAACTACATAAATAAACGAAAAGCCAAATTCAAATTAGTATATTATTTAATAATAATGGAAAAATGTATATATAATTATACTTCTAGTATATACCGTGAGGCCGTTTAAGGTATGATATCAACTCTGCATTATATCCAAACAACCCTCTCTTGTACTTAAAGTCATCATGTGAATCGACTTTTTCATTAGTCTCTTGATCCAAGAGTCTTTCCATGCACCTATATAAACCCATTTTTTATCTCGGGATGTTGGAAACATCAGGACTCCACCTATAGTGTGGATTCAAGAAATAAGTCGTTGCATGCAAGTCACGGTGCATTTGATTCTCCTATTTTTCATCAATAATGTCCAATATTTCCTTGTAAGAAGTCACATCCCCATCAAAAATTTTGGTAATCTTTTCTTTTCATTTATCCATAGCACAATAAATATAAGCCATTGCTGGGTCTTTTTCACCATCAACAAGTCTCAAAACATGAACCAAAGACTTTGTGGTTTTCATTGAATAAACCACACTAGCCCAAAAATAAACTTCGTCCATGACAATCTTCTTGACAACTATTCCATCTTGCTTCTTGGCCCAAGTACAATTCGACCACTCAGTTGAAACGAACATCTATTGTAATGGTTGTTCAACCCGTACATGCTTTCTAGTGTCAAAAATGTAGTGGCAAATCGGGTAGCAGCCGGCCAAAGAAGATCTTTCTTTGCAAACTTTCTTGTTAAGCTCAAAACCTACCGATGGATATGAATAAAATTGCTTACTTTTTCACCTTAAGTAAATCATTTTTGTTTTGTGGCAACCCCCAATTTTCTTTAACATCAAATCTATGTAATGAGCAACACACAGAGTCCAATATAAATGTTTTTGCTTCTCCATCAACAAGGTACCAATAGCTTTGTACGTGCTTGCATTATCTGTGATCGCTTGAATGACAATATCTTCACCAATTTCCTCAATAACACCATCAAGTAGCTTGAACAACTTCTCTGCATTTTTATGCAATTAGACGCATCAACAGTTTTCAAAAAGACAGTACCATATTGATTGTTCACAAGGAAGTTGATGAGGCTTCTGTTTCTAATATCGGACTAGCCATCTGATAATAAAGAAACTCCTATTTGCTTCAAGTAGCTTTTATATCATCTACAAATGCAATGGTTGTCTTGTCGACTTCTTTTAAAAAGTCCAAGTGCCCAACTCGTATATTGATGGAGGTTTTAAGTCATGACCATAATTACCAATTGAACGCACCATATTTACAAATGTTGGACTCGATGTAATATTAAATAGCATCCCATTCTCATAAAAGCACCGCCCAATACGCAAGGAAACTCTATTGCGGTGTTCTTTAGCCTTCGTTGGTGTCATCTTTTCAACCGCTAATGTCCCTTGGTCATCATTAAGTGGAATCTACACATAATGGTCTATTAGGCCTCTAACACCCTTGGTGCTAACACTAGGACAATAATTTTCACCTGAAGAAACATTATTAGTGCTATTGCTCATATGGTATGACCCACAACCCACATTTTCCTCAAAATTGCATTGATTAGCGAATTTATGATCTTGATATGCTTTTAGATATTGTTTCATTTCTTTATTTACTATGTCGGACATGTTTACACAAGGTACATCATCTTTCCCTGATCCAGAAAGATGTTCCTTCATTTGTTTTACCCTCCCTTTGATGACCTTGTTACAATAGTTACACTTGAGGTATTTGTAAACTTTTTTGCTACCTTCTTCCGGTACTTTTACCTTTTCACTATCTCCCTAGGCTGGATCTTTTCGTGCTCCTTTAGAAGTCATTCTAAGTCTAAATACTTAATAAATAGTCTGCAGTAAAGTGAGTACAAAAACATTACAGGGAGAATTGAGAAATTCCATGGACAAAGAGGTTGAATAACTGATAACACTATGTTAACTATATTGTGTTGACAACACTGTGTTGTATAACTGATAAGAACCTAACAACCACCATGGATATGAGCACTAACCCTTGCAACCAAGTTCAATCTTTGATTACCAAACTGATAAGAACCTAAGTCGAGTTGTGTAATTACCAAAATGAGAGTGTAATTACCAAATGGACAGAATCTAAAAACTCATGAAAACATACAATACGTGCATAGGATTTTTTTTCTAACCTTTGATTTGAAGCAGTCAAGCAACCTTTGAGAAGTCCAATAGCTTTGATTATAACCAAATTTTTTTCAGGAAACAACCATCTAGGTTAGTGATCCTTCTACTACCTCCCCTCCATCCCTCTTTGACTGTAGCATAACATATGTAAATCTTGTTGAATTAATTCTTACCATCAGGCATTGCATCCACAAAAATTTTAACTTTGGATCCAGGATTTGATCTTTTCATCTCCTCACCATATGATCATATTCAGGCATAATTTTCTGCAACTATGCCTTCAGCTAGAGTCAATGCATACTTCTTGGCTCGTCTTACACAGATTTATAGTCACATCAATGCCAAAAGAGTGGTTTTCACCTCCTCTCTAAGCAATCTGACACTCATTTTTTGCTTATTAAAAGATTTTTGAGTAAAGTGGGCACTTAATCGTTTATAAGTGACAACTGATCCGAATTTTAAATTATTTGCATAATTATGGTCACTAATAAGATACTTGATTTGGAATTGGAAAGACTTATTATCACTCATCCAAACGGCCAAACCCTAAATGTACATTTTCCATCACCACATTTTGCTAGCAACCGTCTACTATCATTTTTCACAAAACATAATTGATAACCATTCGCAACAGCATAGTCACAGAGCATGTTTTACAATTGTTTAGGACTCTCAAGCCTCCTAAGTAACATAGGTTCCTGCTCCTTCCAGTGTAGCTTTTCATTGAAAATATTTGGCGACTAAGGATAAGCATCTTCATTGTCAGCCATGCCTTCTTCCAAAGGCTTACCTACACCTGTAATCTCACCTATGTCGAAATCATGCCCTCTATCCTTTTTGAAAAAATGAGGGCTGTTATGGTCATCCTCATCATCATCGGTATTCTCATCGTCAACCTCATCCTCATCCCCATGCCCTGTCTCAACTTCCTTAATTGGTCTTGCACCATCAATCACTTCTTCCTCTCTATGTTATCAACAACCTCGTCTTTGTGTTCATCCAACCATTCCTGTATGTTACTATTACCAAAATGGTCTACATACATACGGAGTATAAAACCATATTCATAAGCAATTACTATAAAGTCGCCATAATCCAACTCATTGCTAATTAAGGTCAAACCTTTTGGAAAATTAATATTAGGTTGGCCGTAATAGAGCTTCTCACACTTCTCTCCAGTGAACCTTTTGATGAACGCATAGCACCCGTCCTTGTCCATGCCTGCGAAATCGATGTCCGAAAACCTCTGAGTAATCCACCGATGTAACGTATGAGATATTTGGAAAAGATTCGTTGAAAATGCACATCGACTTGGAAGAATACGGGATCCATGTTTGAGGTTTGAGGAGAAGAAAACAAGTAACGGTTTTCCGGAAGGGATGGACATGGTGAACAGTATAGGGCAAAAAGTCTCTTTTAAAAAAGCATAAATCTATGGGGTGGACAGTAAAGACGTAGTATGCATCAATTGTTATGTGACATTAAATAATGACATGATAATTGACAAAGGTCACAATCACAATCAGCACCCTATATGATATTAGTAAAAAAGGTGGCCAAAATATGACCGGCTAACCCCTTCAAAAATAAAATAAGGACGTAATTGACTCGACAAAATATTGTTTGTTCCCTCATAAAGCTACTAATAAAGTTAAGTGACTCAAATGGTCAACCTTAGAAAGTTCATAGGGAATATGTGCCATTTTCCAATATAAATATACAATATCATTAAAGAAGGGGGGGGGGGGGGGGGGGGGGAATTTAAATGTTATTAAGATGAGGAAGATAGAAAGTAATATTGCAATAGATAAATAAGTGGTGGATGTCTATTAACAAAAAAATAGATACACTCTAACGGTATAAGGTATTGAGTGGGTGAACAAATAGTAATAAGTCATGAATAAGCTCCCATTGGAGATGCTTTCGGTGAACTTTTTGTATAACTTTTATTTCAGGATAAAATTGTCCCCAACGATGTTATGATAATTTCAACATCTTTTTTTCACAGGGAAACAATTATATTGTCCCGACAATCACAACTGTCGGCCCCCATGGTTTTAACCCTTAGGAATAGACCATAAAGGGCTTCGATGTACATAATTCCAACAAATCTATCAATATTTGTTTTATTTTGATTGAAATTTGTAGTTAAGATGCACTTGTAATTAAATTTAAGAGACCTTCTGTACCCTTTTAAACACTTAGATCAGTTTTTACATTGAATTTTGTATCTTTCTTGGAAAACGTTGATGGTAATCAAATTTAAACATATATTTGTATGTACATGATATTTGGAAATTATTTATCATTCAATATTTTCATTCAGCTATATTAAAGAAATCTTTAAATGTCATCCCATGAACTAGTCTATTTTTCATGTGTAGTTTCACGCCTGAAGCAGAGTGTCAGAAGAAAATTATTGAAACCATTTATGAGAAACTGGATTGTAAAAAATTTCATCTTCCAAACAATCTACCAGGGATGGCCTCTCGATACGAGGATATCAGTTCCATTATAAATGAACCCAATGTTAACTTTATAGCAATTTGTGGCATGGGTGGAAGTGGCAAGACAACATTGGCAAAGTATATTTACAATAGAAATTTGAAATCTTCTGAAAACATTTGTTTTCTTGAAGAGATTGGTGGCAGATGTAAAGGACATGATGATTTGCTTCAGCTGCAGGAACAACTTCTGAGTGAAATTTTAGGGGGGAAGAATAGAAAAATACCCAGTGTTTCTCCAGTCACATGTAAGATTGAGGAGGCCTTACAAACAAAAAAAGCTTTTATTATTCTTGATGACATTTCTGAATATGCTCAGCTTGAAGCTTTACTTGGAACTGGGAAGATTAATGCCCAAAGTAAGATTATAATAACATCAAGGGTTCAAATTTCAGACCAATGGTTTGAGTCCAGATCCTGGAGGTGTCGAAAATATGAAATGAAATTATTGAATGATGATGAATCACTTGATCTTTTATGTGGTCATACCTTCATATCCAAATTTCCTACAGAAGGTTTCAAGAAGCTCTCAGTACAGGCAGTACACCATTGTGAAGGAAATCCACTGGCTCTTGAAGTGTTGGGTCGCTTGCTAGCAGAGGAGAACAGCCTCCAATATTGGAAAAGTACATTAAGGTCATTTGAAACAGAGATTGCTTTTGGAATTCAATGCATACTCCTTAGGAGCTACGAGTTGTTGCCACATCACTTTAACAGACAGTTGTTTTTGCATATTGCTTGTTTCTTTGTTGGAAAAGACAAGGATTATGTGGAAAAGATATTGGAGGATGATTGTTCTGCAATCTCTGGGATCAAAATCCTTTCGAACAGATGCCTTCTTTCTGTTTCAACAAAGAATAAACTGATGATGCATAACTTGCTTCAGGAGATGGGAAAAGATATAGTTCGTCAAGAAGCAATAAAATTCCCTGCAAAACGTAGTAGAGTCTGGCTTAGTAGCGATTCTTATAAGATAATGAGCAAAGGAGAGGTAAAATGCTTCTTATATATATGTTCTAGAATACTTTTGTTTTCACAGTTTCCTATTTGATTTGAATTGTAAAGTTAATCTTTTTTTTTTTTTTAATTTTTTTTTATTTTTTACTAGTTGTGAGACCCGTATATTATACGGGTTGATTAAAACAAAATGTTAAGTACGAACAATTAAATAGAAATTTTATTTGAATTTGAAATTGAAATAAATGAAAATTATGAGAAAAAAAACATGCAAAAAATAAATAAATTAAAATTATGTGTTTAGTTATAACAAAATGTTAAACATAAAAGTTTAAACTGTAAATTTATTTGAAATTGAATTTGAAATTTAAAATTTAAAATTTGAAATTTGAAATTTGAAATTAATAGTCATTATGGTAGGTTTAATTTATGGAAATTAAATTAATGATATATTGAAAATAAAAATTAAAGTAATGACAAGTGGAAAATAAATATATCTCAAATTATAACAAAATGACATGTGGCTAATTTTATGAGAGAAGGACATGTGGCAAAGTGATTTTAATTTATTAGGGTAGATATATTTATTTATTTATTTATTTTTCATTTATATAGGGTTCGGAAACAGTGGAAGGTCTGACACTTGACATGGAAATGTTAAGGAAAGAGGAATTTCCAATCAAGGTAATATTAAACAAGCTAAATGTTTTTTTTTTTTTTTTTTTTTTTTTGGGATTAGATCTAATTAATTTGTTAGATTACTTATCTATATTGCATTCTGTTTTGCTTTGTGTGCACACACCCCGGTTATTACACAACCATCAATACATGGAACTTCTGATTGGTACTCAACACATAGAATCTTTGGTTAATTTATTTCTGGATATGATGTAAGCTTACTATCTCTCTTTATACAAAACTTGCAGTCATTAAAACTCAAGACAGATGCACTTAACAAGATGGATAAATTAAAATTGCTCCACTTTAATCTTGTGTATCTTGACGGGTCCTACGAGAATGTTTCAGAAGATTTAAGATGGCTCTGCTGGTTTGGCTTCCATCTAAAAACTATACCATCTGACTTATCCATGGGAAAGTTGGTGGCTTTAGATTTGAGTTACAGCAAATTGGAAGTATTTGAACCGCCCATGGTAGGGAATGTGGTATACTTTTTTGTGGCTTATCCTATCTAGCTTCTTAGTTGTTAATGGTCTTTATGCATACAAGGAGTGATACACAAATCTTGTTACTTTTGCAACAGGTTCTTCAATCACTGAAGATTCTAAATCTTAAAGACTCATACAACCTAGTCGAAATCCGCAACATGTCCAGGATCCCTCATCTTGAGACTTTGATTCTTTGGAACTGTCACAGTCTTGTTCGTGTTTGTGATTCCATTGGACAACTGGCTAGTCTTGCACTACTGAACATGACAGGCTGTAAAAAGGTTTGTAAGAGACAGAAAAGAAATGCATTAGTGAGGCTAGTAGCTTCTAGTTTTAGTGGAGGAGTTGCAGAACAGCCTACCTTTTCCTTCCCACAATCATTAAAACAGTTATTCCTCAAGGACTGCCATCTCGAGTGTACTGATTTTTTTCCTTTAAATTTCCGTTTTCAAACATCATTGAAATACTTGAATTTAGGCAATAGTCTATTTGAGCTTCTGCCTTGTTATGAACATCTTAAAAGTCTCCGGGTTCTTGACTTGAGTTTGTGCTTAAGACTCAAATGGATTCTATGTCTCCCAAGCACACTTACAGAATTGTATGTATACTACTGTAAGTCATTAGAGAAAATAAGTTTCCAATCGCATCGATTCACATTGCAAGAGTTTGGCTATGAAGGATGTATTAGTCTGTCTCAAATCGAAGGCTTTATCAAATTGGTTCCTATAGCCAAACTTGAAGAAAATGATTTGGGACACATGAACTGGCTAAAAGAATATCAAAATCGTGAGATCTGTCTTGTTGGTGATGACGAGCTCACCAAAGGCAGAAGTCCCTGTGTCCAGATTTTATATGAATTTGGTATAATGAGCACATCTCTGCCAGACATAAAGGATCCAAACATGAAGCCTGATTATGTATCAAAAGAATCGAGTTTGTCCTTTGAGGTGCCTTCGTGTCCAATGATTAGGAAGCTCAAAGGACTTGATGTAACTTTCAGATATACAATATCAGGTGACGATTATATGGCATGGTTCTGTAAAATCAGTACAACCAATGGTGTTGATTTGATGTACAACCCCAAAGTCTTTGGAAAACCTAAATTCGGTAATGTTGGAATATGGTTAAGCTATTGGCCAATTGGAAACACATTGGACATTGGAGATATAGTTAATGTTTCTATTGTTGTGATGAGTGGATTAGAGGTACAGGAATGTGGTGTGAGCCTTGTTTATGTTGATGAAAATGTAACCAAGGAAACCTTGAAAAATAACATGGACTGGGAAGAAATTCTTGGAGGAGATTTGTCTGGATTTCAACTCAGCACAGGAGCATACTATCTTTGTCGTCGTGATTTCTATGAGTTGATGAACGTTGGTAAACTGACTCTTGATTGGTTTAGAATTTTAGTTGGTGATACCATTGACGATACTGGTATGTCCCTTTTATCAAGCTAATTTTGGGCAATTTTAGTTAGATTTACGAATAGCACAAAAGACACTAAGTTTACACCAAAATTTTAATTTGACACTGTGTTTTTTTTTGTCTCAAATTTGACACTGTGTTTTTCAATTTCTTATAATTCTGACCACTTGACCGGTCAACCCGGTTACCTACTGACGTGGCATGCATGATGACATGTCAGTTTTGATGACGAGACATGCTGACATGTCAAAGTTGAATTTTTTCCTACAAAAGACAATAAGTTTTCACTTTTATTCAATTTTGACACTAAGTTTAATTTTTTCTTTCTATTTTGACACTGTTTTTTTATTCCAAATCCAACATCATTTTTTTCAATTTTGCTTACTTGACTATTTTCCATTTGAAACCGTATAAATATTTTTTTAATAAATTTCAAACCGTATAAATACATTTTTTCATTTAAAAACCATATTTTTGTATAAATACAAGGGCTTTTTTTTTTTTTTTTTTTTTTTTTTTTTTTTTTTTTTTTTTTTTTTTTTTAATTCAAACCATAATTTTACGTACAAGTATGTATTAGTTATATCTTAAGAACCCAACTAATCATAACCTTCGAATAAGATATAAAAATTTTACGATTTGCAAACCTAACCTCTGCGCCCTCCAAACTCATTTTAAAGTTGTATATTTAATATAAAATATGGTTTTTAAATAACTAATACATACTAATACATTAAATTATGGTTTGAATGTAAAAAAAAACCTTGTGTTTATACAAAAATATGGTTTTTAAATGAAAAAAAAATGTATTTATATTGTTTAAAATGTATTAAAAAAATATTTATACGGTTTCAAATGGAAAATGGTTAACATTGAACAAAATTAGAAAAAATAATGCTCGATTTTGAAAAAAAAAACAGAGTGTCAAAATTGAAACAAAAAAATTAATCAGTGTTAAAATCGAAAAAAAGTGAAAAATTAGTGTCTTTTGTGGGAAAAAAAAATTCAATTTTGACACGTTAACATGCCACGTCATCAAAACTGATACGTCATCATGCCACATCAACAGATAATCGGGTTGACCGTCAAGTGATCAGAATTGTAAAAAATTGAAAAAATACCGTGTCAAATTTGAGAAAAAAACACAGTGTCAAATTAGAATTATAGTGTAAACTTAATGTCTTTTGTGCTATTTACCCTAGATCTATATGTTGCAAATATAGAAAATTCATCTCATGGCACATTTTTACAGAGGTACGGGGATGGAGAAAGACAGGTAGACCTAAGCAGTTGAATCCATCATTTACCGAGTTGAAAAATTTTCAATGCATCATCCATGGTCCTCAATTGGTAAATTTTCTTTTATATATATATATATATATATATATATATATATATATATATATATATATATATATATATATATATATATATATATATATAATCAAGATTAAAATAAGAAGGAAATTTTTGGTAGGAAGGTAAGAAGTTTTTTTTCTACATATTTTTTTCGCGAACAAACAAAATAAATCATTAGATGACTCATGTGTAAGATGATTTACAAGAAAAAATTCTCAAAAAAACTTCTCGATGATTCATTTATACAATGATTTTGTTGTTATTCACTAAAATTGTCACAAAAACGAATTTTTTCTTAATTTACTTAAAAATGAATCATAAAGATGTTTTTTTGGGAATTTTTTCTTATGAATCATCTTACAAATGAATCATCTAGTGATTCATTTCTTTTATTCGTTAAAAAAATATGTAGAAAAAAAACTTCTTACATTCCTACCAAAAAAAATTTCTTACCGGATATATATATATATATATATATATATATATATATATATATATATATATATATATATATATATATATATGCGCGTACAATTGGCGTGCTTCTCAAATAACCGTTTCACTTACATTATTCATATGATACTTGTAAGTTTGCTAGTCAGGTTAATTTTCTATTTTCTTTTTCAGATATTTCATGAGTTCATGTAAGTGAATAGTTCTATCAAACCATTATAATTTGGTGTAACCTTTTGGTACTTGATGCTAATATGGTTATAATTAGTGTGAATTGTTCTTCAAGTGTTTGATGGATTTTTAGTAGATGTGAAAACTTTAGTGTGGACTGGTATGTTTGAATGTCATGTCCTTTTTCGACTTTCCCCCGATGTAATCTTCGTTGGCTAGGTTCTGGCTAGTCTTTTAATATATCGTCATTTGTTCTAAAAAACATCATTACTGCAATAACCGGGTTTTGCTAATTAGGTTTTGGTGTTCATGAAATGAAAAAAATAGGAGGAAGTTTACAAGATCGCAAAGATGCCGAAATCATCTTTTGTAGATAAAACTTTGGAGTTCACATCAAGCATGTTTGGGAAGACAATGAAATCTTCCACATCATCCAAATCTAGCGATACAACAATAGAGGTAACTGAATATTTTGTATACCGGACAAAAGAAAATTAAGAGTTTAACTTTTCCTTGTGTTCCCATCAACGCACAAATTTACATCAAGTTTATTACAATACAATTGAATAACTCACAGCTATAAGAAATAAATTTGAAGCAAAGGTGATTCAGCATAATCCTTAGCAGATAAAAATGAGGAGCTTATTCTTTTCTAACATATATGGAATTTTCCTTCAAATCACAAACACAGCCTAGGAAGCTTCAACTCTTTTATTCTTATTCCGAAATAATCATGGAACTTCACTTTGAATCTAGCTTTCGTTTTATACTTCTGAATTGTCTACACAAGACATTAATGGAGTTTGACCTACTATACATTTTCCTTTTCCTAGTTATTCCATCCAATTCCTTAAATGTTGTGGTCAACAGCTTTATGAGCTATTATCATTTAAACAAATTTAATATCCTTTTAAAATGATCGATCCTCATTAGGGGCGGACCTAGGGGTGGTCCACGGTGGCACCGGCAACCCCTAACTTTTCCGGCCGCAGCAGAAATTTTTTCGAAGATTTTCGAAAATTTTATTTTTTCTACTACCGTGCAACCCCTAACTCTCCCGTGCAACCCCTACTGTAAAATCCTGCGTCCACCCCTGATCCTCATACAGAACGAAGGAAAGGAAAAAGGAAAGCAATCAATAATATTTTTTTACAAAAAGTCTGCATTGAAAACCGATAAATGTTTACTTTTCAATAGATTTGCTTCTCAAACTACAAGTACTTTTCGAAAAGAAAGACCTACCGGATCGATAAGTTTTTTCCTCATGTTTACTTCTCCACTCATTTTGCTTACATGGTATGCCGGATACATTTGGTATTTTACAGAAAACGTCAGAACATCAGCTACCACTTCACAACATGTTTCCCCTTTTACCTTCAATGTTCTCAATGCCGTATCTTGAAAACATACTTTTGCTATCGTTGCTCTTCAGATTTAATTAATGAATGTAGAGTTTATGGACATGTCTAAAGTATCTGTTCCTATTAAGATTCAGGTGTCTATTTCACTATCAAATCGGGATGAACAGAATCCGCTGCATACACATTATGCTAGTCCCAATATAAAGCTAATCCGACATTAAGCTTATTAGATAACATGGAGCATAACATTCCCTATACTGGAAATTAACTTTCTTTCCTCAACTCATGGAGTAGGTGGACCAAAGTTATAGCATGAAAATATTCTTAACTAGTGAAGGCATGGTCCTCCTTTCTCCTTGAAATTCAAAATAGTTCACAAAAGACATCTGATGAGGCTTATTAAACTTCTCCTTTTTTCGTATTCTATCCAACAGCTGGTAACGATTTACCCATCACTTTCAGCTATGAAAATAATGCTAACATATGGTTTTTAGACAAACAATTTTGTACGTGTCCTCCATGCCATTGTTTGATAGAAAACAGAATACCAGATGTCGCTAGCAAACAAGCAAAAATGGTTTCTAGATACACAAGGTGCAGCCTCATTATCACTCTGCGTTGAACTCTCTCTCTCTCTCTCTCTCTCTCTCTCTCTGTATATATATATATATATATATATATATATATATATATATATATATATATATATATATATATATATATATATGTATATGGATTCTGATCTGGACAAGGAAACTATAACCCGGATTCAAGATATAAAATTTCTACCAAAAAACGGAGTAAGAGGCAAAAATTGTCTAGTGGATCTTCAACTGTTGGTACATGCAACATGGATGATATCCCAATACCTCAATATTTGAGTTTCTCCCTGGTTAAGCAGACTTGTTGGAGTTAACATTAGCATAATAAAACTTGTAGGAATTTATGCAGTATGTGTGTGCACAGGAACACAAATCTTTATTCAGGAACTCCATAAGTTTACATTGATGCATACACGTATATGAACAGCCATCTAACCATTGCAAATCTTCACCAACCATTGCAACTGCATAAATAACCAACTATTAACTACCCTAATAACTAACCTATGATTTCCAGATTAACTAACCAATTAACTACCATTAACTTTCATAAAATAACCATATGTCTAGATTAACTTTCAACAAGACTGTCAAACGTCCTTTTTTCATCAAAAAAGGCGGAGAACATATTCTGTTGCAATACTATAATAACCAAGGAACAAAAATGGACCTCCAATCCCAAAATGGATGCCACCTACAAAGCTAAAACTGGGTTAGAAGTGAAATGCCCTACATAATATCTAAGTCTTTAGTTACCTGGTACTTATGTGCAATGAGTATTTTTTTCACATAGTGGTAAGGGTACAGAGACTAACTCACTAACACGGAGATTTATGTTAATTTTTATTGCTTTGTTTTCATTTGCAGAAAAGGTCTCTGAAAGTGGTTCTGAAAGTGGATTTTCCAAATGATAAGGAAAAAATAAAGGCTTTCAAGAAACTTTCCAGACTTTCAGGTTGATATCCTGTTTGTTATGTTTTCAGTCTATTTGCATTTGACTACCAGAAGTTTGACTAAACTTTGTTTTGAAATATTTGTAGGGATCGATTCCATATCTGCTGACATGAAAGACAAGAAATTAACGGTAACCGGGGACATTGATCCAGTTCAGATTGTCGCAATCCTTAGAAAATCTTGGCACACAGAATTAGTGGCTGTTGGACCAGCCAAAGAAGAGAAGAGGGATGGAAAGAAAGAAGAGAAGAGGGACGGAAAGAAAGAAGATAAGGATGATGATCAGAAGAAGAAAGAAGAAGCTCTTTTGGAAGCTTACAAGAGCTACAATCCTTACATGCCACATTATTACTCTACTCACAGCGTAGAAGAGAATCCAAATGCCTGTGCTATTTGCTGAGTTCTTGAAAGATACTGGAAGCATACAAGAAAAGATGCATTAAGTACATGTATATTGGGGTACTTTTTATTACAGGGTGTTATTTTGTATCATAATTGACCATTTTATGGTCTGATTCTGTTTCCTTTTCTTTAGACCTGGTTGTTATAGTTTCCTTGTTTTCAATACCTAATCTGTATTTGTATTGACGGTTCCTTACTATTTAAATGAAGTCTTTTACCAATTTTTTCATTGTATCAGAGCAGATACTTTTCTAATATTCAAAACCCTAAAATCACCGTTTCACCATGACCAGTGGTGAGCAGAGTAAACAGAAGAATGAGGGAGAGTCCATAGACTCAAACTCACCATTCTACATACACGCTTCCGATTATCCTAAACAGATGCAAGTAAACGAGGTGCTGACCGATTCCAACTACAATGATTGGGCACAAGAGATGACAAATTTCTTGTTGCCAAGAACAAGATTGGCTTTATCGATGGCTCAATAAAGAAACCATAAAAAAAATGAATCTACTTACATGGCCTGGATGCGTTGCGATGCAATGATAAAGGGTTGGCTCACCACAGCCATGGAGAAGGAAATACGTGGCAGTGTCAAGTATGCTAACAGTGCTGCTGAGATCTGGGATGATCTAAAGGAGAGGTTTGGCAAGGAAAGTGCACCGAGAGTTTACGAGTTGAAATAGTCACTCACGGGTACTCGACAAGATGGAACTTCCGTCTCAGCCTACTACACAAAGTTACTAGGACTATGGGATGAAATACAATTTGTATTACCGATTCCCCATTGCACGTGTGAAGGATGTAAGTGCGGGCTTGGAAGAAAACTTGTTGAACTCAAAGAGAAGGAGAGAATGTACGAGTTCTTGATGGGTCTTAACAGCGAGTTTTCTGTGATACGGACCCAGATCTTAGCAACAAAACCAACACCAAGTTTAGGGACGGCTTACCACCTGGTCGCGGAAGATGAACAACAAATTAGAGCTGCTTCCTTTAACAAGAAGACGACCCAAGAGGCGGCTGCCTTTCAAGCTTTTGTTCCAGCCAAACGTGAAGGACAACAACAAAAGAAAGGAGCACAAAGGACCAACAAAGGTGCTCTTGATAACAAAACTGAACATTTTCACCTTTTGTGGGAGAGATGGGCACAACCGGGAAGGGTGTTTCAAACGAATCGTATACCTTGATTGGTGGCCTGGAAAAGTAAAGGGAGATATGACGAAGCCTAAAGCAGCCGTGGTTCAAACGAGTTCAAGTCCCATTCCTGGAATAACAGAAGAACAATACAAGATGTTCGTTAAACACTTCAGTGGTAACAACAACGTCAATGATTCTGAAACTAAACCGGAGGCAAATATGGCAGGTAGTTTTGATTTAAATTATGAGTGGATCGTTGACTCAGGAGCAACCTGATCATATAACCTGTCAAAATAGAGGCTCCTATCACCATTCCTAATGGCGAGGCCATTCCTGTAAAAGGGAAAGGTGAACTTCTTTTAAGGGAAGCGATAATGTTGAAAGGCGTACTATTTTCACCAAACCTCAAATGCAATCTTTTGCCCGTTCATCGGCTAACAAAAGACCTTCATTGTGCCATAACCTTTTTCCCTGATTTCTTTGTCATAGAGGGCTTGGATTCGAGGAGCTTGATTGGAGTGGGTAGGTGTAGCGGAGGTCTTTACCGATTAAAGGGGATAAAGGATGAAAGAAAGGCGATGGTGGTTACTGCTGATATATGGCATAAAAGGCTGGGTCATGCTTCCAACATGAAATTGTCTCCGGTCAATTCACTTAGAAACATCTCTTTTGATTTTGAAAATAAGACTTGTGATTCTTGTTTTAAGGTAAAGTTAGCCAGACTACCTTTTCCTGTTAGTTCAATAAAAACTAAAGAATGTTTTGATTTGATTCATTGTGATGTGTGGGGGGCATATAGAACACCTTCTTTTTCGAGGTCGACATATTTTTTAACCATTGTTGATGATTATAGCATAGTTGTCTAGATTTACTTAATCAGACACAAGCATGAGGCCAGTGCTTGCCTGGTTGATTTTTACAACTTGATCAAAACTCAATTTGGAAAACCCATCAAAGCTATCAGATGTGATAATGGAGGGGAATTTACTTCAAATTACATGCATGATTTCTACACTAAACAGGGAATAATTTTAGAAACTACATGTCCCCACACCCCACAACAAAATGGGGTGGTCGAACGAAAACATCGACATCTACTTGAAATTGCACGGGCTTTGAGATTTGAAGCAAGTTTACCGACCAGATTTTGGGGTGAATGTGTTTTAACAGTAGCCTATATAATAAATAGACTACCATCTCATGTTTTAAACAACAAAACACCCTTCGAAATACTTTTTAAAAGAATTCCTAACTAGGAGCACATGAAGGTACTTGGGTGTTTGGTTTATTACAGGAACACTAACACAAAGGGTGATAAATTCAAACCAAGAGGGAAACTTGGTGTTTTCATGTGCTATCCCTATGGTACCAAAGGGTACAAGGTTTATGATATTGGACAAAGGAAAATGATTACATCAAGAGATGTAAGATTTGTGGAAGAAGTGTTTCCTTTTTCCAACATAGAACAAAAGGAAAACGTCAAAGACAATGATTTTCTCGAGGACATGGTTGAAACTGGAATGAATCAAGAGGATCAAGTGACAGGGGGGAGTTAATGATCAGGCCTTCCCAGTTGAACCTGATTACATTGAAAGCAATGAGGTTGATCCCATTCATAGCTATAGGCAAAGTCAATCACAAGAAGTTAGTAATGACCATGAAGGAGACCTTGATTTGCATGAAACAAATACCAACTTGCATGAAACTATGCAACGTGAAGACGTCTCGAGTCATGATGATGAGGTGCAAAATGTTAGGAAAAAGAGAAACAGGTCTCAACCAAGACATCTAAATGACTATGTTGTCAATCTTCCCCCTTCAGTAGACCACATGCAACCTCCTACTGATCAAGCGTCCTCGACGGTACACCCTCTTGCTCATTATCTTTCTTATGATAAATTTACTGAATCTCACAAAGTATTTTTGGCGGCCATCAATTCTCACGATGAGCCAAAGAGCTTTTCTCAGGCTTCACAAGATCATGAATGGAGGGAACCCATGAAAAGGGAGATTTGTGCTCTCGAGCAAAATGATATGTGGGTTCTTCAAGACGTGCCATCAAGAAATAAGGCCATAGATTCCAAGTGGGTCTATAAGGTGAAGTACAAACCAAACGGAGATGTCGAACTATACAAGGCGAGACTTGTTGCGAAGGGTTTCACTCAAATGGAGGGTGTGGATTATCATGAGACATTTTCCGCGGTTGCGAAGTTGGTGACCGTAAGAACGCTTCTTGCTCTTGCAGTCAAAAGAGATTGGATTATTCATCAACTTGATGTGAATAATGCATTCTTGCATGGTGATCTAGAAAAGGAAGTGTAAATGAAAATTCCTCAAGTTTTCTCCACCAAAGAGGAAACAAGAGTGTGTAGATTGAAGAAATCGATTTATGGCCTGAAACAAGCTTCACGTAACTGGTACCAAAAATTTACTACAACACTTACTAAACTTGGATATCGTCAATGCAAAGCAGATCATTCCTTGTTTTTATATAAGGTGGATGACATTTATGTTGCTACGTTAATATATGTTGACGATGTTATAATCGTTGGCAACAACACTGAAAAGATACAAAACACGAAAACTCAATTGGACGAGATGTTCAGCATTAAGGACCTTGGGAACTTGAAGTATTTTTTGGGAATTGAAGTAGCTCGCACATCGGAGGGCCTAGTTCTTAGTCAAAGGAAATACACTTTGGACATTCTTGAAGACAGTGGTTTTCAAGGATGTCGACCAAGTTCATTTCCCATACTAGAAACTTGAGTTTCAGCTACAGATTTTACTACGGATTTATTCTCTAGCAAAATTTAGACTTATAGCTAAGGAAATACGACAGATTTACCATGTTTTTGATAATAATTTTATTTATTTAACATATGAAATATTAGTGAGGATTTACCAAGGGATCGGCTACGGATCTCGCAAGGATTTAACGACGCACCACTATTCCTTGCTAATCACTCAAAAAAGGAAGGCGCTTAGCTAGGGTTCAACGAGGGATAAAAAGATGGTGCCATCTGGTACCCGTTTAGCGAGAGAACGACGACGGAAACAATATTTGGGATACACGCGTTTTGTTTTTTCTATCGCTAATCTCTCGCGCTGAAATTGGCACAACCCAGTTCCATCTTCACGAAGGTGGTGTAACTTTCCTTCCCTCGAGCTTTATCATTCTTGACTCTGGAGTAAGTTCCCTTCATCTCTGTTCCGATTATGCTTTATCTCACCATCTCTGTTCGATCAGATGACGACACTACTCACCGGATTCCGGCAACCTCCACATCTTTAAATCTGAAAGTATTCTTAATTTACCTTCGTTAGGGTTTAATTTACCTTCCGGTTCAGGTAAATCTCGTCCTTCTTATGTTAGTTTGAGTTCAATTTCACAATATACTTTGTTAGGGTTTAATTTACCTTGAAACTTTCTGGTTATTGTGTTAGGGCTACCATCGATTGCATCTATATAAGGATAGACACTTAGAATTAGAACTTGAGTTAGGGCTTGATTCATCTAGTTTCTCAATTTTCATGCAATTCCAAAGAGCTACAGCAGCATCATTCTCCCTAGATTTAATCATCAAAACACCAGGACAATCCAACCATTTGATATTCTTGTCTAATTGATATTCTTGCATTGTTCATGTTAGACCTGGTGTAGCCCCAACATTGGCAACATGACATCTTTTCAAGCTAATAATTAGATTGCTCCTGCCTACATTAGGCAAGCCAACTACGCCCACAGTAATCAACTTTTTAATCTGCATCAAATTTGGAGTACGGCATCAGTAAAAAACTTATAAGTTAACACCACATGAAAAAACAAGATAAAAAGGTTGAAATGTCTACATCATGGCTTCTTGAGTAATTCTTGACTTTTTAATCGACTTTATAAGAGTTTCTGCTGCTAGACAATCACTTGTTTGTAAAAGATTAGTTGTCTTTTTTTGCAGCCTTTGAGGATTTCCATCCCAGATTAGATTGTGCTTATTTGTTAATTTCTAGACTTTATAAGAGTTTCTTACATTATCTGCTCTTGTTTGCAGGATGCAGACCTTATTATGCTCGCTTTGGCTACACATGAACTCCATTTTTCCATTTTGCAAGAGGTTCTTCTTTAACTTCTTGTAAAATTGTGCTTATTTGTTAATTTCTAGCACAGTACTTTTTGACAATCAATTCTAATAATTCTAAGTTCTCGTATTGTCAGAATGTTCTTGCAGAAGATAAGTAAAAAACAAGTCAGTTATCTGTGTTGTTGTAAGCTGGAAATTCCAAAACCAATGTGATGAAATGTAGAGGATGGTTCAAACAGGTGCAGTTGACTATATATAAACATTTTACTTTCTTTTAATTCCTTGTTAATACAGGCTAATCCGTTTTTCCTGTGCTTCTGCTAGTTTGACCTAAACCATGATAAATTTGATATAAGTCAACAGATGAACAGCCTTGATATTAAAGTTGTTGGAAAGCCAAAGTGGTTTGTGAAGAAGCTGCATCAGGTAATTAAGGAGTCAAATGTGCATGATGGATTAAACATGAGCTAGGAATTGGTATCTATGTTGTATGTACTTCTAATGTTAGTTTTATTGTGTCTTTTTACTGCAGTTTCTTCATGTTTGGATGCTGAGAGAATATCTTAACCTTGATTTGAGATCCACAAATGTGCCTAAAAAAGTTGAATATGATATTAAACGACTGATTGACGATTTCATATTCATATGCTCTTTCAGTGGAAATGATTCTCTTCCGTATATGCCAACCTTGGAAATTCATGAGGTTTGAATGCTTTTTCCTTTTAGTTCCGTTTCAAGAAATTTGGTGATGATGAAAAAGTACAAAGATGAAAATTTGCTAAGGGTTTACCAAAAAAGTGTATTAAAATATTCATGAAACAACTAAATCATTGTGGCTTTTGTGGTTGAAAATCCAAATTCTAAATTTTTATCATTCTTTATCAGGGTGGTAATGATTTATTGATTCATGTGTACAAGCAAGAGTTCAAGAACCTTAGAGGGTATCTTGTGAATATGGAAAAGGTAATTAGTGGTGGAATTAATGTGAATAAAAACTTTAGTTTCTCATCCATGACCCTAGAAGAGTCTGTTTTTGATCTATAAGACTCATTCTTGACGATGTATATAGCATTAGTTTCTATGTTTTTGAATTTTTGAAAAATAGAAATAGGTGTATGATAAGAAAGGAGGGTACATCAAACTAAAAAGGGTTGAAAAGTTCATCCTTGCAGTGGGCGCATACGAAGATCAGATTTTCAAGAAGAGATCAGCAATCCTTGAAAGCAAACTTTGACGTATGTTGTCGAAAGTCGAGGATGAGGTATATTTGATCATTTAAGTTCACTTTCTTTATTTTAATTTCCTTACAAATTCATAAACATACTTTTGCAATTAATCTTTTATTTAGAGTGGTAATGGAGAAGTGGAGTTGTTTCCTGTGATGTTTGTTCACCATACACCGAAAAATTATCTGATCATGATGTGCAAGTATGATGTATTGTTGATCCCTACTTTCTTTCTCTATCGTTTTTGTATCTTTCTGAATCATATATTTGAGCTATACGACATGTCTTTTTCATGTTTGCTCAGATGGCCGAGAATACAAAAGCTGCTCAGATGATCGAGAATACAAAAGCATTAAAGGAACAATTAATTAAAATCTTACAATCGTGAGATATTAGATGTTTTCAGAAACGGTCTTCTTTCAGACACATGGTATGCACCGTTGTTGTGAGCTTTCCTTCTTTTCAGGCTGTAGATTACCACAACTAAGCAACAGTTACACTAAATTTTGTCAGGTGGAACTGGGTACTCCTAGGTGGAGAAAACGGTATTACAAATACAAGTTTTCTGCTGAAACGAAAGCGAATATGGAAAATACGAGGAAAGAAATCGCCACTGCTTATGCTAGTTGAGTTTAACAGGTTAATTGAGAATTAGATGATAGTTTGAAGACTTGACATGATATGATTTAGCAGTTGCTGTGTCAAAAGAAATCGCCACTGCTTTTCCTGATCGCACTTTCATTTCTCTTGTAGTTGACCTTCTTACTAAAAATGGGCGAAATGGTAATTTACTAATTTCATTTTCATGTTGTCTTTCAATCATGTGATTAAATGACATGACTTTTTCAGGTAAAACAATGGAAAAGAGTATTATATGTATGAAAAAGGTAGCAAACCAAAACCTGATAATATGGTGTTACCAGTTATAGAAGAGTCAAGAAGGGTAGCCAATCTTATGCCACAAGGAAAGGTAACCCACTTGTACCCTTGGGACATACTAAGGGCAATTTTGTCATTTTGTGTTTTATCTGTGTAGACTATAGCCATGACTGATGAAGAAATAGTAGAGATGGTGTTGTTTCCTGTGGTGAATGAAGCATGTCGTGTTTTAAAGGAAAAATTTGTTCTTAAAGCATCCGATCTTGCCATTGCATCTGTTCTTGGGATGAGTTTTCCTTCATATAGGTATGTTTATAATTGAAAAATAGCAATATAGTTTGCAAGAATAAACAATTTTAGATAAAAAAAAAATGTATTTTGCATTTACATTTTCACAATGTGTTGCAGTGATGGCATTGTTTTTTGGGCAGATGTTGTTGGGAGTAAACACATATATACAAGTCTGAAGAAATGGTCTGAAAAATATGGCAACTTTTATAAATCATCAAGATTCTTGGAAGAAAGAGCCATGAATGGTGTCCCATTGGTGAGTTTACTTTTTATCCTCAATCTTTTTTACTTAATGGACTTAATGGGACATAAGCTATATATTGGTGCTCTTTTGCAGAGCGCACCTATAAATACGGGTTCTAGAGCACGTATGTAAGCAAGGGTATACAACTATATGTTCATGGGTTGAGTTATATGAAGCTAAGTATGATATGAAACATGATACTTTGGTAACTTTGATAGTTTTTGTATTATATTGTTTGGTTGTATCATTATTTGTTGTTTTTTAGTATAATAATTTGATGATTGTAGTATTTTTTTCTTTTAGAATCATAATAAAAAAATGATACTACTAGTTCGCGACGGATTAGTGATAAAAAAAATGCATGAACTTTGTGAGGGATTAGCTACGGAAAAAAAAAATCATGTCTAAAGTTTGCGACAGATCAGCGACGGAAAAAAAAAATTTAGTATATAAACTTTGCAAGGGATTAGCTACCGAAAAAAAAACTGATCAGGGAAATTTGCGATAGAACAGCGACAGAATGTCATTAACAAATTTTGTCGCTAATGTCCTGGGTAAATGTATTGAATGACATTTAGCGACGGGTATTCTGTCGCTAAATTTGTCGCAAGGAAAAACCGATCCGTCGCTAAAACCCTTGTTGAGTCATTAGCCACTTTTTAATTACCTATGGAGTGAATCTGTCGCAGATCCATCGCAAACAACATTTAGCGACAGAATAGTGACGGATTCTTCCGTCTCTAAAACCCCTGTTTATAGTAGTGATGGAACAAAATCTCAAGCTTGATAAAGGAGATGAACAAGGGAAGGTTGATGCAAATCAGTACAGAAGATTAGTAGGGAAACTTCTCTACTTACAAGCCACAAGACCGGACATAGCTTATTCAGTTAATGTCCTAAGCCAATTTGTTGCTGATCCTAGACAAAAGCATATGGATGCTGTCACCAGAGTGCTTCGCTATCTCAAGTCCACACCTGGGCAAGGTATCCTGTTGCCAAAGGATGGAGGAACCAATTTGGTTATATATTGTGATTCGGATTGGCTTAGGTGTCCTTACTCTCGGCGTTCAAGAACAAGCTACTTGCTTCTTCTAGGAGGAGCTCCAATATCATGGAAGTCTAAGAAACAATTTGTTGTCTCTCGTTCTTCGGCTGAGGCAGAATATCGTGCCATGGCAACAACCGTAAGTGAACTTTTGTGGGTTCGTTGGTTACTCTGTGAGCTCGATGCACAAGCTATTGGTCCGACTCCCCTCTTTTGTGACAATCAAGCGGCCAGGCATATTGCTAACAATCTAGTGTTCCATGAATGGACCAAACATGTTGAAATGGACTTTCATTTTGTTCGTGAGTGAGTTGAAACTAAGGAACTTAAACCTTTATACATACGACACCAAGCATCAAATCACAGACCTGTTTACCAAGCCTTTAGGTGCTCAACAACTTCAATCTCTTCTGGTCAAGTTGGGTTCTGTAAACCTACACACTCCAACTTGAGGGGGAGTATTACAGGGCGTTATTTTGTATCGTAATTGACCATTTTATGGTCTGATTCTGTTTCCTTTTCTTTAGACCTGGTGTTATAGTTTCCTTGTTTCCTCTACCTAATCTGTATTTGTATTGACGGTTCCTTAGTATTCAAATGAAGTCTTTTACCAATTTTTTCACTTTTCAAAAACTAATGTAAATACTGGTTTAACGTAGAAGAAAAGATACTATGTATGGGGTATTAGGGTTGGCTTTAATTACGTGGCTCTTAATCAGGGAGACAAAGGCAAGCTGGGAGTGACAACAAACTTAGAACGAAGGGGAGTGGGAAATGTGGATATGATGGAGCTTCGGAGGCTGAAGATGGTGATGGTGGCAGCAGGTGGCAATGGTTGCAAATGGCCGGAGGATGCAGCGGTGATGTACAGAGGTGGGATGAAGAGAGTGGCTATAAAAAAAAGGAGGGTATTCTTGCTATAG